CAACTTTTATACATGGCACAATAAAAAAAAAAAAAAAAAAAATAAAAAGAATGAAAGCCCTCAACAAAACCCCCATACTTCCTTCTAAAAAAGGACATGAACACACTGTTCCCCCGCCCCCCCCCCCCCCCCCCATTCCGTAGTGCCAGCATGCATAAAAAACAAAGTTGTGTTTTTTTTTGCCATAGTTTTCATATCGGTAGATCCATGTGCACTGATTCTCCGATGGTTATGAATGTGAGAGCAAAAAATATCGTAAATACTGTGCTTTTTCATTTCAGCAATCGGAGAGCTGTGGTGACAAGTGAGAAGACATTCTTATTTCTCAGTCTTTTGATACCGTTCAATGAATGAAAAAAGGCTCGAAGTGATATACGATTAGTGTAATAATTGAAAAACGAACATTAAAAATTCATTGAGCTGCGTTGAGAAAGGATGTATTTTAATAAAGCTGTTTGCTTTTCACACGCAGATCGAGGTTTTGCAATAAAGTACTAGCAATCTCCTTGAAACATAGTGAAAATTATAGAAAATCATTGGCGTGGCACTCGCTAGTCTAAGTTTACTAGGTCTGAAAATTGTGGGATCGAATCTGACAACGAGATCTGTTGTGAATTCAGAATCGTCCATAAAACAAGGGAAAAGTGAAAACATTGTACTTCAGCTTTCTGTAATAGTATGTCAAAACTCTCCTCTAGAACCTTTTAGCTATTTCAAGTCTACTATCAACATATATCACAAGAATATGAGTTTGAGTTCATTTTATGTAGGTGTTTATGGCAATAAAGCCCGAATATTCAATTGTACTTGACTGGTACTCAATTTTTGAAGTAAAATGAAGTATTTTGCCTTTATTGTTAGAAGAAACTATATAAAATGAACTACAACTAATACGCTTGTGACTCATGTTGATTGTAGACTTAAATTAGCTAAACAGCTCTATGAGATAGCTTACGCATACCTTTGGAATACGGTGAAATTGGAAATTTTTATGTGTTCTCTCTTAGTTTAACCCTAGCAGATTGACACGCGATTTGAGTTAGTTCCAGATTCTGTTTTCTTCTTATTAATATCTAAAACTCTCTGGGTATACGCATAAGTCAATGATCAATATCTTAGCTGTTCATAGACTACAGTCAGATAAAAGTAATGTTAAATTGTTTTTCCTTTTTTTTTGTCTATTCTTCTATCATACAATTCTCGATAGATATAAAGTTTTCGCTGCATTTTAACAATCGCTATGCGACGGAGCAATGGAATGTCAAAGGTTCAATTGATAAACAAGACATTTCATCGTAAGTCGTCTAACCAATAGTAAAAAGGAAATTTTCAGCTGAATGACAAAGTTTTGATTATACTTATATAAAATCTGTGAAACTCAAAAAGGAAAAGAATATTAAAAAGTGTATGTCTGTCGTTCACCTGACACTGTTTTAATTGTTAGAAAAAAATTGAAAAATTCACTAGGGATTGAGATAAATAGTTAAAAAAAACTGCGTCGAAAAGTTGAAAAATGAAAAAATTCTCACATATATTGTCTCCAGATTCAGGATCGGGCGTTATTGTACTAACTTCTAAGAGTTGTATATCTTCCTGTTTATTATTAATACTGTTACTGAGTTTTTCATGCAGATATTGGTTTTGTACATGTATATCATCAGTATCATTTACAAATTCATTATGATCATATGAATATATAGTGCTTATATAAATTAAAAAATTTAATAAATATGTAAAATAAAATATTGTATTATATTTTATCATTATTAGATTATCTAAAAAAACAATCGTTGGTTCAGATGAGAATGAGTAATTCATTTAATAAAAATTTTTTTCTCTGATGAAATGAATTAGAAGTGCCTATTATTGATGGCAAAATATAATGTACTTCGATATATTTTGAATAACTCGAGAACAAAAGTAACTAAATGCCTACGATTCTCACCATTCGAAGTGAGTTTTTCGCTATAAGCTTTGAGCAGAAGCTTTTTTGAAGAAAAAAAAACTTTCTCAACTAATCACGAGTTCTCATTTAGGAAATCGATAGCAAAGACATTTGTCTTTCGATCTACACACAGTCAATCCTTCTAGTTTATTTCATTCAAGAACTTATACGTGTTACCAGAAGCCTTGGAATCAGTCAACTAACCACTCGTCACTCTGAACTATGTTAAGTTCGGTATATTTCCTCTACGCTATTCCCAATGGTAGTATGTTTTTAGTTTGCAATATTATCGTAAGTTACTAGATCATGATTTTCGAAAATCGGTTTATACAAAGTTTTTAACGTTAGATACAGTATTTTCAAGATTTTGTTTCTCCAACATTCGATCGTTTCATAATTAAAAAAACAAAGATTATCATTGGACTCAGCGTAGACAAGTACATCAAACTCAAGATAGTTTAGAGTGACCAATGGATGAATGTTTAGCTGATTTCATGACTTCTTGTAAAACCTCTCTAACTTAAGAATGGAATAAGCTAGATGAGTCAGTCTTGCATAGATCGATAGAGAAATGTCTTCGCTATCAACATCCTAAATCGGAATTTAATATTAGTTAAGGGCTTTTTTCGAAAACTTATGGTCAAAATCTATGGCAAAAATTCACCAGCTTGATCAACACAGAGGCCAAATAATTCATCAAAGTTTCTCGCAACTGTTGTTCTCGAAATATTCAAAAAAATATTGAAGTGCATTATATTTTATTGTCAAGAACAGTTGATACTTCATCGATCTGAGAAAAGAGATGAAAACGAAGGTTTATGATACGACTTTTATATTCTATTATAAATAGCAAGACTTGCTCACTTTTGTTATTTGTTAACTTTCTAGTTATCATTTACGAAGGTTAAGAAAGAAAAGAATTCGAAAGGTATTAAAGTGATTTAATTTCTTGATAAATCTATCAGGATTTTGTATATTTCACATCATAAATGTATTTACCTAAACAGCAGTACTAGACGTTTATTTCATAGAAAAATGCTTTGGTAAAAATCATTTATGTGCTTTATCTTTATGTTCTTTTCATGAGATGAAATCTAATCTTTTTACGATTATTGATGTAAAGAGTTAATTTTCTTTTTTTTTCTGCTTTCTATTAAAACATTATCAGATATTCCACAAACTTCACTTGTTAAATTTTATTGTTTGAAGGTTCTTCTCATCCAGTACCAAGAAAAAGACAAATTTCTTTTTTTCTTTTCAACTAAATTCCCTATTTTTCGTAAATGAACTTTATTGAAAGTAACAATATTTACAAGAAAATTTTCATTTGAATATTTAAATTTTAAGAATTTGAATTTAATATATTATATATATATAGCTCATTTGATTGTATTATACAGAACGTTTAAAAACTCGACGTCTTCGAATATCTCAAAAATTAAATGTATTCTAAACATTAGCTTCTACCTCAAAGAAACTCACGCAATGTACCATGTACATTACAAAGATTTTTATTCGACAAACAGATACATATCGATTTTTCTTTCAATATTAAAATTATACATGCATTATTTACATTCACTGAAAAATGATTTATATAGAAATAAAATGTACTCTCGTGTTTGTCCGCTGAAGTTTTCAATAAGAAAATTGTTCATATGTTAAGTTTCACAAATGAATATGATTATATTAATTAAACACAAATAGACAAACAGGTATAGTCAAAAAGTAATGACTAACATCACGAACAAACCAATAAAGTTTAAATAAAAGAAATTTGAAAAAAAAAACGTCAGTAATAGTTTTTCAAGAAATTGTTTTAATTCATTCATTAAGAATATCTCAAATTTAATTCTCCAAAAAAAAAATAACATCAATGAATAAATTCTACAGTAATATTTCACTTGTTTGAAAGCCAATAACAAGTATTCAAATTTTCTATTGACATAGATCAGGATTAGTGTTTGGAGCCACCACAGTTGAATGGTCATGTTGTTTGACATGTATCCACAAAGTATTATGCTCAAAGCCTCGGTATAATCAGTCTGATAGCATGCGGACGTATTGTGACATATATCTGCTCTTGTGATTAGTATATATATATATATATACGAGAAGTACAAGAACTCTGTATAAGGTCAGTCTTTTGTTCAGAGTTACAGCTAGTCATAATTGCGAAGAAGATATCGAACTATTGATTCTGCCACTAGACAATAACTAAACGGCAAGAATATTTTGCATTTTACTTATTTCTAGTATGGTGATTTAGAAACGGGCTAGAAGTTTACCAATATATGCATCTTTTCGTTGATTTGACATGAATAAACATCGACGAATAATAGAATGAATATGTTTATAGTTAATAATTTGGCAAATGATCATAATTCAGAGAAGATTTCCACTTAAATACGATAAATATCAAGATAATATAAAACTTAAATCCTAGTTTAATATAAAATGTCATCAAAATTGAACTTTAAGTAATTCACAATTCGAACTGATCTCAATAGATAAACAATATAAAGTATGAATAAAATGTCAACAATATTCAAATTAATGA